ACTTCATATCCTTCATCTGTAAAGTGGGTTTATGGGGATGAAACGGTGTCAGGTGTGTGAGGATCTAGCTAAGCGATGACCACCAGGGAGGGCTTCATAGTCAACACTACCTGCTTTTTGGGAGCGAAGTAGGGGTTATGGCCTAATGAAAGGCATCATCCTATGTGCTCCCCACTGCTGTAGGACGCAGCGCTGTGGGGGTAGGGAGCACACCCGAGGGCAGACCAGGGGCAGCATCGTCCTGCTGTCCCCTTGGAGTCACCTCTACCGCCCCTGGTTGGATTTGTGTAGCCACCTCCCTCACAGAAGGTCCAGTGGCCCCTTCTCCTCATCCTATTGCCAGATGTGGGAAGGGGGGGCTAGACTGGGGCTACAGGCTTGGGAAGCTGTCCAGACTCGCATCTGACACCCAGAAGCAGATTCCTAGAATCCAGGCACAGGGGGGTGGTTCACCAGATCAGACTTATGCCTGTATCACCTTACACTGACCTTAACCCCTCTCAGGCCCTGGGCTTCTCCTGAAGAGTCACAGAGTCCTGGAGCTCACATGTTTCTATAATATTCTCTAATCCAGTATCAGCCCCAGCCACCCTCGGGCATGGTGCCCCGTCCCTGAGCATGGACCAGTCCTGAGGGCCAGGAGCTGGCTCATGAGACCTGGGGGATGGGGTCGGCTGAGAGAGGAGGAAAAGATCACACTGTAACAAAAATGGATATTTTTTTGTTCAGAATCACTGCAGGAGGCACGAGGGAGGGGCAGAGCCCTGTGTGTCTTGTGGGGGGGTGGTATGCACCTGCATACGGGCCTGAAGTGTAACCTGTTCCACCTGGCTCTCAGTTTTCTAGCAGCCTTAGCCCACTGATCAGGTCTCTGTGACCCTAGAAAAGTGACAGAAGTCATTCCTCTGTCCTCCCCTACTGACCTGCTGCAGAGCAACCCCTCACGATATTTAAGGCTTTGTTTTCCTAACACATATTCAAATCTCTTCCTACCTCCTGCTTCTGTTTCTACCCACACGATACGCATTTGGTGTTCCTTTGGCCCCTTGGGCAGATTCTCCCTCCCTCCTGTTCACAGACCCTCACTGCAGTCTGCAAACACCACCGCTCCACGCTCCGTGTCCTGACTCTGTGACCATACGTGTGGTGGGAGCCTGTCTGGGTGTATCTCAAACTATTTCTCCTAGAGACAACTTGTGACTGGTGCCGTGGAGGATGTGGTCTTTTATTTCAATATATAAATAAACGTAAAGGGAGGCATCTTTGAGATCACCGAGTAGACACCTTGAGCAAAGCTCACCCTCCCAAGTTGAAAAAATTTATGGACAAGAAATTATCATTGAAATTACATGGTGGCAGACATGTCCAAGGAATATTGCGGGGGTTCGATCCGTTTATGAATCTTGTGATAGATGAATGTGTGCAGATGGCAACTGGGGGCAACAGAACAATACTGGAATGGTGGTAACACGAGGAAATAGTCTCATCACGTTGGAAGCCTTGGAACGAGTATAAACAATGGGTGTGTTCATCAGAAGGAATCAACTGCTTCCACATGTCCCCTCCACAGTACCTGTTTTACTACAATATAAAAATCAAGGGGCGCCTGGGTGGCTCAGTTGGTTAAGC